TATAGCTATAGTTTGAATAATTACCTGAAAGATAAGCTGCATGAATAACCAAATCTCCAGGGGAAAAAGCCATAACAACAGAGCCCACATAATGTATTTCTCCCTTCCCATCCCCCTATTGCAGGTGTTGGTGGCAGTACTAGATACACTCCTGATATGCAATTATTAGTAAAATTAAGGACTCGATTATAAAAATTATTCACTTTTTTATTAACTTCTTTTTCTCAATTATGGAAGTTCTATATTTAACTTGAAGTTGCATTTTAAATTTGGAAAACGGCCTATAATAAGTTTTTTAAACTCATTTTTTAGTTTTCATGTTGTATCTATGTACAGTGTACACTCAACCTTGAAGATATTTTTACAACTTGAAAGTTTAATTCTACTGCTATAACTTGAAAATATTAGTCTAATATATGTTATATATTAAATTTTCAATTCGTAGAATGAGTGTTTTTAAATTTTTGAGGGTGATGAATAATTTTTTAGATTAGGATTGAATAATTTTCAGATTTTTTATTTAACAAACGGTTTCACTATTTATCTTCTTCTCCCGCGAATAGCTCGCCAGAGCTCCGATGAGCCACCCACCTCCTCTCAATCCCAGACAGAACAGCCCCATTCCTTCAGCACCCTCACCGGAACACCAATCATAACATTGCTGGAACAACTACACAACCCCCTTTACATTGAATTAAATGACATTTGACACGAAATGTTATTTAAATAATCACATTAAATATAAATGCCAATAGTATTATGACATTTGTTTCAAATATCATATCATTTGACTCTAAGTACCAACTTTTACACCTAATGTTGAAAATTAAGATTTTTAAAATTATTTTGTCACTCTTATATTAAATTGTAGAACAAAATTATTGAATGCTTACAAAATAAAAGTAGTAACTTTTACCTTAATTAATCGATATATGGTGACGTGACCTTCATATCAATAACTTAAAAATTGCAAAGTTAAGGTGAGCTTAAGTTCGACCCTTTATTTCAGTTTGCAGCCAATAATGGTTGGAAATTTTAAAGCAACATTTGCATAGTTTAAAAAAAAATGTCATTAATTTTACACGGAGAAAACATTTTACAAATGTCGTAAAAAAAGTTATTTTGATATTGGCAAAAATTTAATTTTAATGTGACAATTTATAAAGGTCACAAATAAATGTCGTAAATTGTTTTTTGAAAATAATTTAAATATAAAAAAATAAGTGACATTTTATATATGTCATGAATAAAGGTCGCTTATTAATTATCAACATTTCTTTAAATGTCCGAAAATTCTCGACAATCAAATGTCGGTAAGTAGTTTTGCGATATTTAAACTGCCTAATACGATTTTTACATAATGTCGTTGTATCTCCATTTTTTTTGTAGTGAATAATACAACTCAATTGACCCTTTATTTAAAAGAAAACTAGAAAACCTCAAATAACAGGTGCATCAACAAAAGTTTTGATGGAGTGATAAATATTTTTTTATTTTTAATCAAAGGTCATGAATTTAAGCTTTATCTTCTAATATGAAACTTCTCGACGCGAATCTGAACTCAATCACCATTCAATGTGATACTAAACACTGATTGAAAAAAAACCATGTTACATGTGCATTGAGGTCACAAGAAAAACAAGTGTTGTGTCAATTGAGGACTTTGGTAAACAAAATTTTGGAGTGTATTGATTAAAACAGCTACTTTGATAAACAAAAAAAATCAGCATATATCATAGGATACTTCTAAAAAATTCACTTTGTTACACTTTGAAGTCTTTTTCTTAGTCTATTTATCAAATATCTATTTTTAAAAGTAACGCGAGTATGAAGAGAATAGAATATACCTAATCTTATTTTATTTTGTACTATAAAATCATTTTGAAAATTAACACGAGTTTGAAGAAAATAGAATGTATACAAATATTATTTTATCTTGTAATATAGAAATAAAGTTTTTTTATTTTATAGATCCTCAATCAAACAAGTTAAATAAATCTAGATATTAAAATGGAAAATAAAAATATTAATCAGCTGATAATATGACTTCTCATTCCCACATGGCATGCCAATACTAATTACTTTTTTTTCTACTGCCACATAAACTAAATCCCTAAATCTTAAGTACTCTTTTTTTCCCCTCATTTCATTATTTTCATAAACGATTTCACCCCTTCTCCCTCATTTCGTAGCTAGGTTTCACAACTTCTCCCAACCTAGCCGCGAAACGAGAGAGAAGGGGTGAAATCGTTTTTGGAAAATAATGAAATGAGGGAAAAGAAAGAGTAATTAAGATTTAGGAATTTAGTCTATGTGGCAGTGGAAAAAAAGAGTAATTAGTATTGGCATGACATGTGGTATTCACATGGCATTTTACAACTTTCGTTAATAAGAATGGTACTTTTGACCAAATAGTTTGACGGGAAGATTAGTTTTGAGCCGAAATATAGTTTAAGGGTATATATGAGCTATTTCGAATAGTTTAAGAGTATTTATGACCCCTTTCCGTTATTATTATTATCATTTTACATTATAAGTAGCTGCATTTTCCCCAAATGTTTCCAAGTGAAAACTTAAAAACACTTTAATACAATACATCAAAAATTTGTAGGATAATGTTTTCTCGTCACTCAAATTTGGTCGTCCCTAAACAAACCTCCGTCGTAAACTTCCTGGCCACCATGTCTCCGCCATCCACCGCCGTTGTCTACGACCAACACGGCCCGCCCGACACCGTCACAAGGTCCGTTCTAGATTCACAATGTCCTCCTACCACCACCCTTGCGTTGTAAAAAATTATATTATATATATACAATTAATTTTTTTTATGTATATATAATATATGTTTATTTATTTTTTTATATTTTAAATCATGTTAGTGAAAATTCTAATTCCGACAGAGTTACGAAGATTCCACCGGTGGAGATGAATGAGAACGAGGTGTGCGTGAAAATGCTTGCAGCTCCCATCAATCCCGCCGATATCAACAGAATAGAGGGTTCCATAAAATTCTCTTTTTCTCCTTTATATATAAAATATATATATATTATATAATATCAGTGTTACAAGAAAAATAGAATGAAAGAAAGAATATTTTTCAAACTAATAGTTGATATAGTAATTACTAGGTTGTAGGTTTAATTAATTTCAATAAAGGAAAAAAAACTCTGTGACTTCTTCGAAGGAAAATTACACTATATGAAGTTGTGCTTGGTTATATTTTTTTCTAAAGAATAAGGTTGAATGTACATAAAAAGTGAAAAATGAGTTTAAAAAAC